GGGTAAGACCCTCCTTTCTTCTTGCATCTGAAGACCTGAGTTTTTTACCCACGAAAGCTTATGCTCCCAATATTTCTGTTAGTCTTAAAGGTGCCACAGGACCCTCTGTTGCTTTTCATACAGTCATTTACTCTGAATCTAAACCAGCTAGGTTTCATTTGTGAACCTCTCCTCATCTTGCATTAACTATCACAGGTTTTTGATATATACTGTTTCTAGCACTGTTGTACAACTAACAATGCCCACACAGCATTTGCTCTTACCACATCCCAGAGCAAACAATCACAAACATTTTGCTCTTGAGACACTGTGTAATTTTTTTGAAGTTGTTGATTTTTTTTTTAAGTGAATCATCAGCTTTTCTTGGCATCAGTCAGCAGCTTATTTCCTTGTTTTCTTCTAGGAATGAGACTGTTGCAAGGGCTATCTGCTCTTGTGTCTTCTGTTCGGCTAACCTCCTAAGCAATCTGTGTAGACAAAGAATGTTCAGGCTGTGTTGTGTTATATTTTTGCCAAACAGATTACCCTTTAAAAATAAATAAAAGGTTTAAAAATCAATTTGTAAAATATGATAATTTGTTTGGTTTATTGAGCTGCGAGACTATGGTATGGCTTTTATATTCTAAATTGTTAGCATTTCATTAAATATAATTGATAGATTTGTTTTGCGGAATTTATATGGAATATTATATTTTGAAAACTGTAAAAATACGCATGAATCATTATAAATGACTCAAAATATTCTGGATTTTTTTTCAGGTTCTGAGTTACATCCATACAGAATGGGATCCACTTGATGCTAGCTTTAGCACTAATCAGCCTTATCAGGTTCACACAGTGGAGCACTCTATCAGCGCAGACAAAGAGCCCATGGCTGACAGCTGCATCTATGAGTGGGTTAGGAACAAACTTCAGTGCATGGCAGTCACCAGAATACCACTAAGATCCAAGGCCATCAGTTGTTGCAGGAACATTGCAGAAGACAAGCTGGTCCTGGGCTGTGAAGATTCTTCAGTAATTCTGTATGAAGCCCACCAGAGAGTGACTCGGTTAGCCCAGGCAGAACTATTGCCTGCTTTAATAAACTGCCACCCCAGTGGAGCCATATTTCTGGTTGGCAGCTCTCAAGGGGAGCTGCAGCTTTTTGACATGGCACTGTCCCCAATTAAAATACAGCTTTTGACAGAAGACTGCTCACCTAAAGCAACTTTGCAATTCAGTAAACGGTTTGATGTGTCTAGCAGCCTCATCCAGATACAATGGGCAGCTCCTCACACCGCGTCTGACAGCGACAACAGCATGGATGTTCATGACCTTCTGTTAATTCGGTTTGACAAAGGACCTTTAGGAGTACTTCAGTTTAAACTTGGTAAGTCACTCAGCACGTGTACTGTACATTAAGGTCTCTAGGCAATACCCCTTCTTCACCAGCTTCTCTCATTTTAGTCTCAAAATTGTTTATGTTCCAAATAAATTTGATGTCCCCCCATATAGTGACTAACATAATGGAAACCTGGCCTGTGATGGGGGCTCCTAGGTGCAACTACAACAAAAATAGTTTTATTGTTAAAAGTTATTTACATCAGAAATACCAAAACAGAGTTCTTTTCTGAGTGCTTGCATATGCCCATTCCACTGTAGATGCCTTTGCATGAAGACAGAGAACTTTTTCCTTTACGGGTACCCATCAGGGTGGCTCATGCACCCTCCACACGCTCATGCAACTAGACAAGGGTATAGAGGGGCAGGGCCATCCCAATCCCCCTTTTCACCCCCCTCCCCTTGGTCGGTAGTCAGAATGTGTGTGAGTGAGCTTCTCACGCTCTTTCCTGTTCTCTCTTTAGAAAAACTTTTTCTCAAGTTTTGTAAATAGTATAGTTGTAGTTATAGTTTTAGTCAGTGGTACTCGTTTATGAAAGATTCTTGGTTTTTATCTTATTTTTCTTCAAGCGTTTAGCTCGGTATCGGAGCATGCCTAAGTCTCTGGGATTTAAGCACTGTTCTGGCTATTACAAGTCTATGCCTCTCAGCGATCCTCTCTCCCGCTCTTTAAAGTGTTTGGGAGAAGGACCCCTGTCTGTAAGGGGTTTAAGACCAGGACTAAGAAGCTGAGGGAAGTTTGACTTTGAGATATCCTGATGGAAGCAGCTTTGCATCCCCCGTTTGGAATCCAGCCACTTGCTACATGGGGATTGTGACTCAACTCTGCCTCAGAATGCACCACCACACCCGGCAGCATCCTGGTGTTGAAATTTGTAGAGAAGTGGCCAGATGATGCTAAAGAGGAGTTCAGAGCTCTTGTAAGTAAAAGCTCTTGTAAGTGAAAGCCTGGAAGCAAGATCATCTTTACAGGCTGCATTGGATGAGGCAGATTCAGCAGCTCAGGTGATGGCAACAGCAGTCACTATGCATCGTGCTTCTTGGCTGCAGTCATCGGACAATTGAAGTCCAACAGACAATTGAGGACTTGCCCTTTGAGGGCCCAGATTTACTTCCTGAGAAGGCAGATGAAGCTTTGCATTCTCTTAAGGATTCTAGGGTAACCCTCATGTCTTTTGGGCATTTGTACCCCAGGCCCTAAGATAAAGCAATTTTGCCCGCAGGTCCAGCAAAGATACCCATTCTGCCTGATAAGGCAGCTGGCTCAGTCCAGGACGTGCTATAAGTCTCAGAGGAAGAGACCTCTTAGAGTCATAGAATCATAGAATATTAGGGTTGGAAGGGACCTCAGGAGGTCATCTAGTCCAACCCCCTGCTCAAAGCAGGACCAATCCCCAACTAAATCATCCCAGCCAGGGCTTTGTCAAGCCTGACCTTAAAAACCTCTAAGGAAGGAGATTCCATCACCTCCCTAGGTAACCCATTCCAGTGCTTCACCACCCTCCTAGTGAAAAAGTTTTTCCTAATATCCAACCTAAACCTCCCACACTGTAACTTGAGACCATTACTCCTTGTTCTGTCATCTGCTACCACTGAGAACAGCCTAGATCCATCCTCTTTGGAACCCCCTTTCAGGTAGTTGAAAGCAGCTATCAAATCCCCCCTCATTCTTCTCTTCTGCACACTAAATAATCCCAGTTCCCTCAGCCTCTCCTCATAAATTGTGCTCCAGCCCCCTAATCATTTTTGTTGCCCTCCGCTGGACTCTTTCCAATTTTTCCACATCCTTCTTGTAGTGTGGGGCCCAAACCTGGACACAGTACTCCAGATGAGGCCTCACCAATGCCAAATAGAGGGGAATGTTCACATCCTCGATCTGCTGGCAATGCTCCTACATATACAGCCCAAAATGCCGTTAGCCTTCTTGGCAACAAGGGCATACTGTTGACTCATATCCAGCTTCTCGTCCATTGTAACCCCTAGGTCCTTTTCTGCAGAACTGCTGCCTAGCCACTCGGTCCCTAGTCTGTAGCAGTGCATGGGATTCTTCCATCCTAAGTGCAGGACTCTGCACTTGTCCTTGTTGAACCTCATCAGATTTCTTTTGGCCCAATCCTCTAATTTGTCTAGGTCTCTCTGTATCCAATCCCTACCCTCCAGTGAATCTACCACTCCTCCCAGGTTAGTGTCATCTTCAAACTTTCTGAGGGTGCAATCCATGCCATCCTCCAGATCATTAATGAAGATATTGAACAAAACCAGCCCCAGGACCGACCATTGGGGCACTCCACTTGATACCGGCTGCCAACTAGACATTGATCACTACCCATTGAGCCAGATGATCTAGCCATCTTTCTATCCACCTTATAGTTCATTCATCCAGCCCATACTTCTTTAACTTACTGGCAAGAATACTGTGGGAGACCATATCAAAAGCTTTGCTAAAGTCAAGGAATAACACATCCACTGCTTTCCCCTTATCCACAGAGTCAGTTATCTCATCATAGAAGGCAATTATGGTAGTCAGGCATGACTTGCCCTTGGTGAATCCATGCTAACTGTTCCTGATCACTTTCCTCTCCTCAAAGTTCTTCAAAATTGATTCCTCGAGGACCTGCTCCATTATTTTTCCAGGGACTGAGGTGAGGCTCTCTGGCCTGTAGTTCCCCGGATCCTCCTCCTTCCCTTTTTTAAAGATGGGCACTACACTAGCCTTTTTCCAGTCATCCGGGACCTCCTCTGATTGCCATGAATTTTCAAAGATAATGGCCAATGGCTCTGCAATCACATCCGCCAACTCCTTTAGCACCCTCGGATGCAGCGCATCCGGCCCCATGGGCTTGTGCTCATCCAGCTTTTCTAAATAGTCCTGAACCACTTCTTTCTCAACAGAGGGCTGGTCACCTCCTCCCCATGCTGTGCTGCCCAGTGCAGTAGTCTGGGAGCTGACCTTGTTCATGAAGACAGAGGCAAAAAAAGCATCCAGTACATTAGCTTTTTCCACAGCCTCTGTCACTAGGTGGCCTCCCCCATTCAGTAAGGGGCCCACATTTTCCCTGACCACCTTCTTGTTGCTAACATACCTGTAGAAACCTTTCTTGTTACTCTTAACATCCCTTGCTAGCTGCAACTCCAATTGTGATTTGGCCTTCCTGATTTCACTCCTGCACGCCTGATCAATATTTTTATACTCCTCCATGATCATTTGTCCAATCTTCCACTTCTTGTAAGCTTCTTTTTTGTGTTTAAGATCAGCAAGGATTTCACTGTTAAGCCAAGTTGGTCGCCTGTCATATTTACTATCACATGGCATCTTGTACATACGTGACTCAGCACAGCAGACTTCACCTTAGAGTCATGCAGAGGTGGTTGAAGTCTCTCTACCGTCTCTCTCATCATCCGCTGGACTTGCTGATTCACATACCTACAAATGTTTTGTCATCCCTGGACTGGCAGATGGATCCTGCCACTGTATGCAATCGGGTTCCTTTTGCCCAAACCCTGTCCTCCATGACCATAGTCACAGAGGCTTCATCTCTAAGTTGGCGGGGAGCTCATTTAGGGGCCTTTCAGACTCAAGATCTCTGGTCAAATCAGGATCTCTCCCTCCACATCAGAGTTCAAGAACTTCGACCTATCTGCCTGGCCTTTCAAGTGTTTCTTCCCCACATCCCAGGTTTTTCTGTAAGGGTGCACATAGCTAACACTGCTACAGTGTTCTATCTAAACAACCAGGGAGGTGACAGGTCAGATCCCCGTGCCAAGAGGCAATGAACTTCTAGTCTTTCTGCATCAGGAACAAGATTACACTCAAAGCATCTCATCTTCCTGAGTCTCAGAACTGTCTGGTAGACCATCTCAGCAGATCATTCAGCAAAGATATGAATGTCCTTCAGACCTGACATAGCAAAGTCTATTTTTCAGATATGGGGAATGCCAGAAGTAGACCTATTCACCTCCCAACAGAACAAGAAGCATCACCAGTTCTGTTCAAGAGCAGGTCATAGTCCAGGGTCTGTGTCAGATGCCTTCCTTCTGTCCTAGAAAGGGAAATGTCTTTACACTTTTCATCCCATCCCCATGGTGCTGAGAGTTTTGAGCAAGCTCAGACATGATCACTCCCTCCTAATTTCGATAGCACCAGTCGGACCCCATCAGCATTCATTTTCAGACCTGATGATCCTTTTGATACCATACTTCTCCCTCAGGTTTTGGACATAGTTTTATAGACCCCCGGGTAGACTCTGCGTCCCAGCTCTCTTGGTTGACTCCTGACTGCTCGGATGATCAGTGGTTAACTCCCCAGGAATCTGTCTGTTCCGTTGGAATGCAAAAATGTTATTTTAAATATCAGAAAACCCTCCAGCAGGTATATTTACTTCAAAAAATGGAAGATGTTGTCTGTGGTCCCAGCAAAAAGATACCTGACCTTCACAGGCTCCCATTCATCTTAATCTGGATTATCTGCGTCACCTAAAGGAAAAAAGACTTTCTCTCCGGTCCCTGAGGATTCGTTGGGCAGCTGTCTCCAGATTCCATCCTCCTGTAATGGGAAGATCATTTTTTCCCAACTCTCTGACTCTTAGGTTCTTGAAAGGTTTAGGCTGGCTCGTCTGACTTATTAGGGACTCAATACCATCCTAAGACCTAAGTTTGGTTCTTGTGGTTTTAATGGGCCCCTCTTTTGAACCTATAGCTGTATAGCTGTACATGCTCATTTTCTCATCTCTTCAATGAAAGTAGCATTCAGCCAGGAGGGTAGCAGAAGTTCACACCTCAAATTTCTCACTAAAGTGGTGTTGGCTTTCCATCTAAATCCGCCTGTATACTTACCAACTCTTTCCCCTAAAACTTACTCTCACAAAGGTGAGGTAAAACTTCATACTTTGAACATTCGTAGGGCGTTAGCCTTCTACCAGAACAGGACTAACTGGTTTGGAATGTCTCTACAGTTAGTCGTCTCCTTTGCTGACAGGATGAAGGTCAACC